GCAATGACGACAGAGGGGGGTGGTGGAAGGGCACAACGAAACACAAACAACAACAACAAGAAAAAGAAGACGAGAGAGCCGCAACAGGATATGGCGATGGCTGTCGTTCACGAGTAGAAGGGTTGAGCTGGGCAGAAGTGTAGATACGTACCAAGCTTGAATCGTGGAAATTTATAGTAGCTTGAGGGATTGGTTAAGGGAAAGCGAATAAACAAAATTCGGCTGAGAGGAGCTTCAGTTGAAGGAGTTGGCAGATGGCGAATGGGGCCAAGAGAAAGAGAAGAGAGATGAAAAAAAGAAGTGGTTTTGTTTTGCGGGACGAGTTGAGTTGAGAGAGTTAGTAGTACCTTAACTAGACGGGGGAATTATGGTCAAGTTATTGGTTGGGGGTGACGAAAGCGCGAGAGATATCGAGGAAGGGGCATCTCTGGGCAGTGACTGTCAGTTAGTCAGTGCCAGCTGCCAGCAGCCGGGCAGTCAGCCCCATATACTGGTACGTACCCCCACCCAATGGGTTGTCACCCACCTGCCATGGTGATCCATTGAAACTGGCTGGGCCTTGGAACTTCAGTGGACCCCCAACAATGGACAATCGCTCTTCTCATTCATGCTTAAAAGCTCATTAGCTTGATTGTCTTGTCACGATTACAAGTTGCCAAACGAAACGGGCCTCTAGGGAGGCCTCGCATTGATAGGAGGTGTTGGGTCTTGGACTTTGGCATCCTTACTACATTGTCTCCCTATATAATTCGTCTACCTAACAGTCACGCCTTACTTTTCAGCTTAGGTGGTCCCATAGAAATGTCCATGTTTCTTTTGAGTTGGCATCTCGACGTTAAGAACTATGTTCATTTTGACCTTGAATCTCTGGCCGACAAAAGCCGTTAACAATAGCGGAAAGGCACGTCAACGGCTAAGAAACGGGCACGTTAAACAAGACGACTTTGCTCCGTACCAAAATAAAAATAAAAGGAAAAAGAAATGAGGGGTCCACGGTGTCAAGTGTCATCATCGTCATCATGCGACCCGACCTGATTGCTTCTTTTGCCTTGTTAGTCAGACTGTTGGTGTGCTCGGAGCAGCCACAGAAGTGCCGATAAGAGACTTTGGTTGTGTGTGGGACAGGAACGGCAATCTCAATGCTGCTGGTCAGATTCATCATTCTCTTATGGGAACACGAAGAAGGTCTCGCTATCAAGTCAGTCGATTGTTGCTCTGCAGTGAATACATCTCGCCTCGAACGCCTATATCGCCTCAGTCTTACAAATCCGCTAGATAGCTAGCACCGCACTTTATTACTCCGACAAAGTCGAGGCACCCGATTTCTTTGATGAGTGGTCTAGGGTACTAAGTCATATAACTACTAGAGTATACGAATGACTTGGTATGTATATTGGCGGAGCACATCTGCCCGGGTTATACTTATACTTGGATTGAGTATACTGTGTTGTTTTGACAGTGTATCTACCTGATGAACTGACGTCGTTATCCAAAACATCCCATACAACTTCCACCGCCTGCCAGAGTTGTCTCGAAGTTCGTGAGGTCTACATATGCTAATAACTCAATCAGTTGCTAGAACAACCGTATGGTACCTATTTTAGTACCTATTGTGGTATTGTGTAGGTATGTGAGTAGCATGTACATACATAGAATAAAACCCGATAAAACCCCCCACCTGACGAGAGCTCTGATGTCATGCATTGGCTTTGGTGTATCGTACATGTGATGCGCCATCCATCCCTGAGGTACCTACTTGGTTAGGTACCTCAGTACCTTAGTAAGTAAGGTACTAAGGTAGCAGGGTAGCTTGTGATGGTTAAGTATCAAATGCAAGGAACCCCCCGAGCTTCATACCAGTAAAATACCAATTAAAACAAAGAGCTACTTTGTGCAATATAGGGTAGTTTTATGCCTGAACAGGCACCCTGGAGCTATATACTAGTCCCTGGCTGGCTCAATTCCGTTGTCTCGTAGGCTGAAAGATCATGACCCAGATCCGAGCTTGCAGGCGGAGCTGGCCGGGATTTACCGCTAGGCCGGCCATGATTGTTAACCCAGTACTTGACTTTACCAGCCCGTCATGTGCTAGTATTAGGTAACGGCCTAAGGCGACCATGGCATTCTACCCTTGGCCTGAGCTCGTTGTCAGATCATGGCCGACTCTTTCACCAGCAACCCTCCAACGTCATCGGCTACAAAACAAAGCACATCTCCAATCCTTCCTTGTCACTAGCAAGCCAAGACAAAATCCCAAAACCTCAACGCCAGCATGCTTCGCACAACCTTCCGCCAGACAGTCGCCTTCCGGCCTGTTCGATGCTTCTCTACCACTCCTCGCGTCATGACTGAGGGAGCTACTGGTTCAGTCCGTCCCACTGGTGGTTCCGGGTGAGTTCTCAGTCTACGGCCCAATTGACACGGCGATTGAAGCATTCTGACATTTGCAATTCTCTAGTGATGCCTTCCAGCGACGGGAGAAGGCCAGCGAGGACTACGCTATCCGCCAGCGCGAGAAGGAGAAGCTGATCGAGCTGAAGAAGAAGCTCCAGGAGCAGCAGCAGCACCTTGACCGTCTCTCCAAGCACATGTAAGCTACCCATATACCATCCGTGCAGTTGACGGGCCCGAGTTGAGCATACCTCTAACTTCAATTCCCCTTCAGTGACGAGATCACCCGTGAGCAGGGCGGCGAGAAGAACTAAACAACTCATACCTCGGATTACCGGATAACCCCCGGCAAAGACTGCGGGGAGAAACCATCAGCTTTGAGTGATGTTCAATCCCACTCACCAAGATCGATGGATGTACATTTATCAATCGGGGGAACTCGACCTGACTTGAAATTGCACTTCTTCCAGTGCTTGTCTTTTTCCATAGTCTTAAGGTAAACTAGTGTACAAGAACAATCACGCATTTGCACTTCTCAACATTGGATTCCCAGATGTTGCCCGTATCCTGGTTACCCGGAACTGAGCTCTACTGCACGTCTTCTCTCCGTGTTCGTATCTGATACAGAATTACCCGAATTCCTTGCCTAAAACTCCAAGCCAATAATTATTACTCCTGCTCATCGTCGACCCATGTAAGAGCGATAGAAGCTCTCTGCCGCATCGTTATCAGAACCGGCATAATGACTTCCTAGGTTGCTGCTCGATTTCTGAGCAGCCGCAACCTTGGCTTGCAGCGATGAGGCATTAGCATCAATCCACTGCAATTGTGTAAGGTGACTATTCAGGACCCGAACAATCTGGCTCAGCTGTGTACTGGGTTAGCAAACCTTATCCAGGGTGACAAAAATGGAATGTAACTTACAGGGTCCTCAGGCTTAGCACCCTTGTTCAGCGTCCCTGAGATGTCATTGATTTCCTTGACCATCTTGGAGAGATCGCGCGACTTTTCATCCAATTGTTGCGTCAGCTTCTCCGCAAGCTTGTAGGTACGTTCTCGTTCCTGGTCAGGGCCAGCTAGCTGCTCGCCAGGACCAAGCTGTTTCGCAAACATATCCTGAACCTCAGACTCATATCGGTCCAACCAAGCCTCGAGCTCATCTTGTTGGCTTTCTACAGCAGCAAGTTGTCGCTCAATTTCATGGCTGGCCCGTTCAGCCTCGAATGTATCCAAGTACAACTTCTGGATCTTCTCGCCGTTATCCACGAGGCTTCTGTCCCAGGTCGACACAGTGGTGGCTTGCTCTTTGAATTCCTTCTGGTACTTGGAGAGATCAGATGCCCAACGCGTGACAATGTCCTCCATGGTTTTGTTCTTGAGTCGCGCCATCTTGGATGTTGGGCCAGTTGTGGAAGCGCCTAGTGCCCCAGGGGTCGCACTGGGAGTCGCAGACTTAGCTGCATCCTTGCTGGCATCTGTTGTAGGCTTCGCACCAAACAGGCCGCTGGCAGCAGCAGGAGTTGAGCCAGCCGCAGGGGCAGCAGTGGTTGTTGCACCAGTTGTTGCAGTTGTGGTAGCTGCAGAACCGGCTGGCTGGCTGGATGCAGGTGCTCCGAACAGACCACCAGTGGGCTTCGAAGTAGACGACTCAGTAGATGGCTTGGGTGCGCCGCCAAAAAGACTACCAGCACTAGCTGAAGTTGTGGCTGGAGCTGCTGTAGAAGTTGTAGTCGTTGCAGGTTTGTTTCCAAACAAACCTCCAGCTGTTGTTGTGGCAGAAGCGCCTGAGGCAGCAGAAGTTGTTGCGCCGCCGCCGAAAAGGCCACTCGCCGATGTCGAGCCTGGAATTGTAGTCGCTGGAGCTGCAGGTTTGGCACCGAATAAGGAGGCAGGGGCCGTGCTTCCGGCCTGCGAAGCCGCAGCCGGCTGAGCCCCTTCAGTCTTTGCACCAAACAGGCTTCCGGCCGCGGGAGTAGACGCTGAAGCCGGCTTCGCTCCGAAAAGACCCCCGGTAGGAGCAGCACTTCCGGGTTGCGCACCCCCAAAGAGACCACTGGGTGATGCAGCTGCTGTAGTGCTGGGTTGGGTAGAAGGAGCAGACGTGCTTGCAGGTTTCGCTCCGCCGAATAAACTTGAGGTTCCGCTGGATGCTTGTGCACCTGTATTTCCAAATAATCCACCAGTAGGCTTCGCAGAGTCGGCGGGTGGTGCCCCTGCTGGAGTCGTAGATGGCAAAGCGAAAGTTGGTTTAGCGGGAGTTGCGGCCCCGGAGGCAGCATTTCCGAAAAGGTTTGTGGGTGCAGAAGAAGGGGTAGCTGTCGCTGCCTGGTTTGCATTATTCTGACCGAACAGACCAGCACCACTACTAGCAGTGGTAGAAGAGCCGCCACCGCCGAAGAGGCCAGTGGCAGGCTTGCTGGCATTGTTCCCATTGTTCCCAAAAAGTCCTGAAGACGCAGGGGCCGTTGAATTGCTGGCACCACCACTGAACAATCCACCGCTAGAAGGGGCTGAAGTAGTCGCTGGCGTGGTAGACGAGACACCCCCAAAAAGACCACCTGTCGCAGGAGTTGTAGAGCCACCAGCACCAAAGATACCGCCAGAAGAGGGAGTGGTAGAAGTGTTGGCCGTGTTTGTGCCGCCGCCGAAGAGATTGCTGGCGGGCTTCGGCGCCGAGGCACCGCTTTGTTGACCAAACATAGTGGTTGCGCTGCTGGTCGGTGTTGTGGTGTTACTGGCAGAGCCACCAATCGAGCCAAATGAAAAGCTAGGAGTTCCTGTAGCTGCCCCAAAAACGCTGCCCGAAGCTGGCGCAGTCGATGTCGTGTTGTTGGGCGCGCTGGAAGAGCTTGCGTTTCCGAAGCTGAACGACATCTTGGGAGCTGGAGGCCGAGATCAGCTTGCTCGAATTGGGGAATTTATCGGTCGCGAGTACCTGACGCAGTTTAGATAAGTATCGGGACGTCGAAGAGGAAGATTCCCAGTAGTCGAAAGCAGGACCCGGGATGATGACTACGTGAGTCGAAACGGGAAGATTGTGGTCGTTGATGGCAACAGATGTGTTGGAGGCGGCTGGTCCGTATAGTATTTGGGAGCTTTTTTTGTGGAGACGCGTCCTGAGATGAGCATTTACCGCTTGCTGCACCGTGTCCGCGCTAGGTTACTTCTGTGGCCGTTTTGCTTTATAGGTACTATACGTTATAAACGGTGTTTGCATTAGGTTCTCAGTTTGGCTGTATCTTCGGATCTTGATAAAGACAAAGTATCAACAATTATAACAGGTGAATTAAAACCACAGAGCTTTGGGGTATGACACCCACGAGTGAACATTCTATATGGTGCTTCATCATGATAATACAACACAAATCATGAGCTACGCTGCCTTCGCGTAGCGTTCTGGTCGTAAACATCCAGTATGTTGTGAAACATTCGAAATGAAGATGCTGTATATGTATGATAGAGGAGCCTTTAAGTTGAGATCAGTTGGCTTACAACAATGATGGGAAGGCTGAAGCACAATGGAAGATGTGATGTGGGACCGTCTAAATGGGGCAATAGGCTAATACTGTATTATGTTTTATGTGCTTCAGCTTCATCATTAGCTGCAGATTAAGGATAGTTATTTGCAGTTGAGACTTGTGGCTGAGAACTTGTTCCGGCAGAGAGAAGCTAGATAATAGATCTTGTGGCCAAGTTTGACAATGAACTGCTAATAGTGGAGGTAATACTAGTCATCATATGGATCTCGATTTTCCCCATCCATGCTACCTAAATGCGCCTAAACAGTAGGTAAGGTACCTAGGTAGTTAGTGGGCAGGCCTGTAGCAAAGAAGGTTACGAGCATCGAAAATTACTGATTGCATCGTCCCTTTCAAGTTTCATGCAGTACGGTGACCATGCCGTGTTCTAGACTAAGGGTGATGCAGGGATAACTCAAAGCCAAGGATCGCGAAAGGATGGATTGGACAACCTAGAGCCGCCCAACTGAGCTGAGGAAATGGAAAGATGCCACCAGTGCTGGTAGTACCACGTGATACTTGTTCACTTCCATTAGGTTGAGCATAGTAGGTACGGAGTACGGAGTAGTTCCTAGTAATTACCTGCTAACCTTAGGTGAGGTACCTCGCTTCTCGCGACCTGCTGGACGGAAACGACCTCTTTTCTTGTTCCATTCGTACCGGTCATATTCTACCTATTAAATTTCGTTGCTGGAACTAGCATTGAGTCGTTCTGCGCGCCAGCCCTCCTTTAACGGCAGTCTTATTACACTTTACCACCCTCTCCTCAGCACCTCAGGCTCCCCCAATACCGCGTTAAAGCCATTAAGCCTGCTCAGCTGTTAGCCCTGTGTTCCTTGAACCCCACGCCAACTATCAATACCGCACGTTCTAGATCTCGCGACACCACTTCCATCCGACTCTCGTCATCATGACAGACGCCGAGAAGCTTGAGCTTCCCAAGGGCGCTCCCGTTGAGGACCCTGGAGCCCACGAACTTGGTATGATGGCACCGTTTTTCGGACAATCGATCACCCTTGCTGACATGTTGTAGCTGAGGAGTCTGAATCCGATGACCAGTTTACCGATGCGGCATCTGGCGCGGGAAGTCCCAAGATTAGTTCACCAATTCCAAAGACTCGAGTCGAGAAGGTCGACGATCAACCATCACACGGCGAGGTTCCGGGAACTGAAGCATACGAGATGCGGGGGCAGGATGCTCAGCCTGACGAGATTGCGATTGCTCCAGAGGCGGGCGCATCTCAAAATGCTCCCTCTACTCCCGAAATCAAAGCGCCCACGACCATCGTAGAGGAGGCCCCTGGGCCTAGAAGTCGATCACGCTCAATTCAATATGAGGAGAGGCGCAAAGCAGATGCTTCTCCGGACATTCTCGTGGATTCTGATGGTCTGGTCAGGGAGATTCAAGGCGAGAGCGCACATGTTGACAGCAATTCTGGTACGGGAGTAGCAAAGTCCTAAAATCCAAAAGAATGATCATTGACCACTGAGACTCGCCCGCGTAGATAATTCAAGACCGTCACCCGATACTGCAGACTCGAAATTCCAAGAAGATGGACCTTCTGAAAGCCCTCGTGCTATAGCAACTTCTTTACGAGATGCTGACGATGATGATGGCGATGGCGAACCACAACAAGATAATGACGGCGACGACGATTTTGGCGACGACTTTGATGATTTCGAGGAGGGTAATGAGGACAATGACTTCGATGACTTTGAAGATGGCTTCCAGGAAGCAGAGACACCAGCGCCCACTGCCACACAGGCTTCGCAGCAATCAACATTACCATTCGTGAGATATATCTACGTTATGCCCCTTTTACTTCGCTAACCATGATGAATCTAGTCCATACCCGATTTTGATGGACTTGATCCAGAAGCAGTCGTATCTGCTTTAGAGCCTTTCCTCGCTAATCTATACCCCCCCGAAGAACTCGATCTTCCCACATTCCCACCTCTCTCCAAGGACTCGGTGTTTTTCACAGCAAGGTCTGCATCTCTCTGGTCACAACTGGTAGCGCCACCTCCTCTCGCACCCCCTGATTGGATCCGCTCTCGCACACGCCGCCTCTTTCTCGTGTCACTCGGTGTTCCCGTCGATCTCGACGAGATCCTCCCAGCCTCTAAGCAGAAGAAACTCGTCCTCCCCTCTCTCAACGTCCCTTCATTGTCGCCTAGAACGTCCACAGATTCCCGGTCTGTATCTAGGTTACGGCAAGGCGAAGGTAACAATTCATCTACATCAGTTGATACCCAAGGAAAGCCATCAGCCTCGACAAGAAAGCGGCGCGGGCCTCCACCACAACCCGAACTGGACCTCGTGGCTGCTCGTCATTTGTGCCAAACAACAGATGAAGCGCTTGATGGTATGACTGATGAGGAACTAAAAGCGCACGTAGCCAAACTGGAAGGTTTGCAGGAAGCGGCCAAGGAAGCATTGGAATATTGGAAGAAGAGAACCGACGAAAAGATTGGCGATCGAGAAGCATTCGAAGGCGTCATAGAAAACTTGGTCAAGCACGCGCGCAAAACGCGCAAATAGATATTGCATATACTCATGAGTTTAGTCATGAAATCTCTTCATTTCGTGCTATGAGCGTTTGGCTAAAACTTTTGGGTCTCCCTGTGAGGTTGGTATTACCTCGACGCATTCACAGCGTAACTACATTTCTCATACTCATCCACTAGTCACAGCCACATGTTCTTTATCGCTCGTGGCATGGACTCATCTAGCTCCTCTTAATTTTTCGTCCCCATGCTCTCCTATAAAAGACCACCAAACACCAGGCCCCCCTCCAGCGCCAACCGTCTACTCAAAATGCCTTCAGAGGCTTTACCTCTGCAATTGGGCGTTCTTGAGCTCTTCATGTGATGTAGCCGGGAAATCATGCGAAAAAGCTGCTAAGTTGTTCATTGTCCAGGTGGAAAGTCTAAGCAGTACTGGGCTCAAGGGTCACACCACTATAATGGAGGTCAGTTAAATTATTCTGTAATAGGGGCTGACTCATGTATGTGGAAACTTACGCAGCAATGGTAGCCCAACCGATGAGACGCCAATGCTTCTCAATACGTCTGCTCAGAGCAACCTTTTCGCCGATATTGGTACAGGCAGGGCTGGTCAGGACAAGCTTAGCAGCGTCGTTCTTGATGGCAGCAACCTTGGCGCCAGTGGAGGTAGAGCCAATGTTGACCATGATAACCTCGTTCTTAGCGAGCTTAGCAACCTTGGCTTGTTTACCATCGGCGGTCCTCACACCAAGCAGGCGGCGGAGAAGGTAGAAGTTGACCTCGATCTCACTGTAGATCTCGGGAAGGCGGCCCTTGAGACCCAAGACGAAACCGACCAGACGATCGGCTCGGCACAGAGTAGGATCGATTCGGGTGCCGACACCGATGAGACCACCGGGCACGGCGTACTTGAGGTCGTTGGCTTCGGAGTTAAGCGAGACGACTCGACTGAAAATGGGTGTGCACTTGAGGGCACCGCTATCGTCTCGGGAAACAATACCAGGTCGGATCTCAATCTCATCACCAAGCTTGACAACACCGTGGAGAATAGAACCACCGGCGACACCACCCTTGAGGTCATCGATCTCGGAACCAGGCTTGTTGACGTCGAATGATCGAATGACGATCATATGAGGATCTATGCTGAAGTCTCTGGGAGGAACGGGAATGGTGTTGACAATGGCCTCGTTGACGGCATCGATATTGAACTTGAGCTGGGCAGAGATGGGAATGACTGGGGACTTGCCGGCGACAGTTCCTCGGATGAATTTGAGGATGGATTGGTAGTGCTGCTGCGCAGCCTCTTCTCGCATAAGATCGACCTTGTTCTGCAGAATGATGATCTTGTCGAGCTTCATAATCTCAATAGCTGCCAAGTGCTCAGAGGTTTGGGGCTGAGGGCAAGATTCGTTACCAGCGATGAGAAGGAGAGCGGCGTCCATGACGGCAGCGCCTGACAACATGGTGCTCATGAGAATATCGTGACCAGGGCAATCGACGAATCTGTAAACATCAGCCATTATTCCGTACACGAGTTTGAATTAAGCATCAACTTACGAGACGTGTCGCAATAGCCTGTAGGTACCGCCACAGCCATCTCTCTCACAAGGAGGGTCAACTTCCTTCTCACTCTTGTAACTGCGGTAGCATCCAGGGCGAGGGCATGCTTGGTTGTCGCATTTGTAGATCTTGGCGTTGGCATAGCCCAACTTGATGGTAATGTTGCGGATGAGCTCATTCTTGAACCTCACAGTTTGGACACCAGAGATAGCCTTGACGACGGTGGACTTTCCGTGAGCTACATGGCCAATGGTACCAATATTGATAGTAGCTTGACGGGCAATAATCTCGGGCGTCAAGGGGGTCAGGCTGGCAACATCGAGATCTTTAGGGTCGGTTTGTGGGGGCAGAGGAGGTCTTTGAGTCGCGGGCTCTGCGATAGCTGGGTTGGATTTCTTGAGAGCCGACTTGAGGGGCTTCTCGTCGCCAGCCTCGTTGTGGCCGACAGACTCGCCGGAGTCAGACTCGGACTCGATGTCGTCGTATTTGGGGTCGCCGCTGGCAGACATGATGAATGCGGGGCAATTCAGACGGTGTTCCAGAAGTGGTTTTTTGATCGTAGAGTGGTTTTTTGGTCGTAGAGTAGCGGGAGATCGGTTTCGAGTAAGGAAATGGGTCGGCGGGATCAGTAGAAAATTACAATCCTATGTTCGAAGGTCTCACGAGTGGTTTCGAATAAGGAACTCGGTCGGCTGGATCGGCAGAAAATTACAGTCCAATATTCAAAGGTCTCGCAAGGGGTTCTCCAGGTTGCGGGTCGTAGAGAGCTGAGATTTTGGGTATTTCGCCTTGATGATGGCAAAATTCCTCGTGTGCAGTCTCTCGAGATGGCTATGACTCTTACGCTAAGCCTAATTGGGAACGATAGAGCGATAAGGATTTGGTGCCCCTCCTCGGGTGAGCTTCGGCCAAATCACCTGATCCAAATGGAAGTATCCGACCCCGCTACCCACTCTATGATACCACAGCAGGTTCCAGGTAGCGAAGAATTCATACTATAAGATATCTAACTTGAGGACCTTGTGTAAAGGTGAGTAGTATATTGCGTCGTGATTTGGCATTGATGGGTGTTGTACGGCTAACTTTTCTTTTAAGCGATCATATAAGTAACAAGAGGCGGGCATTATCAATCATGTGAATTATTTTGTGCCCATCATAATTAGGTCTTGCCAAAGCGGACTACAGAGTATCATGACGGCAATAGTATGGTATCAGGACAAGCTAGCAGCCTTCAAGGTGCCTCATGGCTTCGGAATGAATATTGCCTATCAAGACTTAATTCGTCTCAAATCCTCCTCTTTTCTTTCCCGTCGGATTGATCGACCTATACATACAGGCTCTCTTGCTTTGTGAGGGGACCTCCCGACGCTCAAGGAACAAATCAGGAACCAAACGATCATTATTGTCAGCCGCTTTCAGTTAATGAGAAGCTTATTGATATAAGTATGTTAACAACTATATACTGCGTCTGGGTTTAGGAGTAGATTATATACTTCAGTAGGTAGGGTAGCAATGATATTTAGACAGTTTCTAGGTACCTTAGTTGATCACGTGCCATGAGTTTCGACTTCCCCTAACAACTAACCTTAGGCGCCAAGATGAGGGGGAGCAGGTAATATTGATTGTATCAGCCAGCCTCCTTGGATAATCAAACATTCAAGTCAAGAACACTGAGTTTCTCAAGATGGCGAGAGACTTCTATGAGATTTGCTGCATAATTGGCAAAAACTTCTCAAGTCATGCTTACATATGACATGGGGCTTGATGCTATCTTTATCCAACTCGTGTATCCCGAATCATCACTGACCTTCCTAGAAAGCCTTGACATGTAACCTCGGATGGGGATATAGCTTGTTGTGTTCATGGTGTCTCACTGTTACAGCACAGCCATGAGCGACCATGACTGCATTCTGCATCTTGGACAAATTTCCGGATACCGTGTGCAACCAGCTACCAACTCGACCAATGCCTTGGGTCTGAAAAGTCACTCATTCGGCTGCCAAGATGGATAGACTCTGGCCACCTGAGGTGCACAGGAAAATGCATGCATTTGCTTGAAATAAAGCTTCGGTAAGTTTGGATGGACCGAGTCACCCTGACAGATGCTCTAGATGCTTGATGCAACATCCTTGGTGAGTGGCCACACCCCAGGCTCATCAAGCATGGATCTCAGCATATCGAAACAAAACTCGTTTGTTGCCGCCGAAGCCTGCAGGTGGCTGGATGGCCATCTGGCTCATCACAGCTCTCACAGTGCTGATTGGTCATACGGAGGTGAAGATGTGAAGCGCCTGCACGTAGCAGCCTATCAGACCGGCAGATCAACGTCCAGGGTCCAGACAGCGGTTGCCTGGCACAGCCAATAGGACAACAAGGATGCCCTCTATCAGAGATCCACCCTTCAACACCATGTCCTTTAACCGCCGGGCAACTTCTGTCATCCAGTGATATTGCTCAGCATGGGCAATCGACGTGAGGGACTTGGAGACTTGCCCAGGTACCATGCAAAAGATGTCCCGGACAATTCCAGCCGAATATGGTTGTTTCAATGGGACAATTGCCTTGTTGGTGTCTCGAGGGTCATGGGAGGACTGGGTACCCTGTCCGCACAATACATACAGTACCGCTTCACATAACACCGCAGCTTTTCCAAATCTCTCTTGTGATCCCCTCTCTATTTCCATCCCGCCCGTGATCCTAAATTATCCAAGACTACAGAGGACTCAGAGTTCATGCCTATATTGGTATTACGAGCCTCAGCAGCACAAAGTTCTAAAGTCCTGATTGACACTGACAAAACCAGGCCCGCGCAGTTTGACCTCACATCACAATCACTTGGGCGTCTAAATCCAAACCGAGTCACTTAACGGGCGCCTGGCATCTGCCTATCACAAGTCTTACTGTTATCCGCTCTTCTCTCTGGTAAGGCCATCCTCTGTTACTATTCTCGGCATCCCCCCTCTCTCATGCCCTGTCCCGTTGTTGGCCTTTTAATGGTGTCGAATGGGAGTGCTGGTTCCCTGTGTTGCCGCCAACCTCAAAACTCGCCATTTCCCACTCGAGTCCGCCAGGCCGGACCTCTCTCCCAATCCTTTGATAGCTGGTCTCTTCTTTTGCAATTTGCTCTGTTCTATTGCGGTTGTGAGCTTGGACTGCGTCGAAGCTCTTATCCATCCACTTGCACACCTTTCTGTTGATATATCTTTCCTCTCTCACATTCACCTGATATAAACATGGCTGGCCCAGGTTCGTCTCTGATCTGAGGGAGAGAGCTGACGACGATCAACGACCATGATGCTGACTGACGATACTCTAGAAGATAGGAGGCGACCTGCCGCACTCAACCTCGCCTCAGCACGACCTGGTACCTCGGACTCCTCATCCTCAGACGGCTCTCTGAAGCCCCGAACTCCACGATTTGCTGAGGCTACTTCGGTTCACTCACCCGTCGAGGCTCGGTCCCCCTTTGCCGACCCCGAGAAGTCGCACGTTGCTCAGCCTCAACCCGCAGACGTTGGTTTTGGCTACATCGGCCAGCGAGAATCCATTCCCGTCCCAATGACTCCCAAGACGCCACTCAAGAGTGCCATGAAGGTGCCAGGGACGCCTGCTCATCTCAAGAATCCCTTGAGCCCAACATTTCGGGAGGAAGATATCCTGGAGAAGCGCGAGGCGTCAACTGACAAGGAGCAAGCGCGCGATGTGGTATGTAACTCCGCCATAACAACTGACTCTGTGACATTCCACTTACACTTTGACAGAAAATCAAGGCCCGAGTCCGCTTGGCCAAGTTCGCTCTCCGTGGTGTTAACTTTAGCTGCTCTCTTATTATCCTTGCCATGCTTTCTGCTTCATTTACAATCTTTAACGCTACCAAAGCCTTGCCCGATCAAAGCAAGATGCCTTCATGGGCCAAGAACACCAGCGCCTGGCCCCAGAAACTTGTTCTTGCCATGGCATGCGTGTCTCTTGTCGCTTGCATTGTTGTTTTTATATCCTACTGTCGAGGTGGTCATCGACGTGCCGAGAAAGTCGGGACCTACTATACCATGTTCGCCATTGGCTGGGTAAGTCACGCATCTTGTGGGCTTGGCTTGAGCCAGCACTGACTTGATATAGTTCATTCTTGCCTTGATTCTATGGGTTGTCACAGCTGTTATTTTCCAGAACTCAAGGAACAACAGTGGAAACCAGGATATGTGGGGTTGGTCTTGTGTTAACAACCATCGATCTGAAGTCTTCGGTGAGAAAGTCGACTATGCTCTTGTTTGCCGTCTTCAGAACTGGGCCATGATCTGCATCATCATCGAGGTGGTCATCGAGGTTCTCTGCATTCTCCTCTACAGCGTTGTCTTCTATCGTTACTACACAAAGCGACGCCTTTTCAAGTCTATGGACATGCGAGACCGTGCTCGATCCGACCTCTACCTCGCCCAGCTCCGCAGCCAGTCTGCTCCAAACACTCCCGGCTTCGGCCCCAAGTCCCCCGCTCTCAGCGCCTATGCCATGTCTCCCCGTCACCCTCCCGCTGCTTATCGAAACCTGTCCGACATCAGCGAGAACCCCACCACCTTCACGCCTGGTACCCAATTCGCGGAGCCCAAGTCTCAATTTGCTGCCCAGGAGGCTGGTTTCAAGCTCCAGGCTCCTCCTATGAAGGCCCCTTCTGCTACTCCCAAGCTAAATCAATCTGCCTTTACACCCACTGAGGCCTCACCTCCTGCCATCCCCACTGTCCAAGTCTCGCAACACGGGCCTGTGAACACTGATGAGCCCACTTATGAGGCTGTCCCTATCCCTGGTGCCTATGCTGGCCAGGCTGTCAGGAGTCCACCTCCTACGCAGACTCATTTTGGTCAGGGCTACTAGATGATGTTCACTTTTTCCCGAAAAGACAAAAATGCAGGTTTGATTAATTTGTTAGTTCTGGCTCAGCGAGCTTCAGCCGCGTTCTTTAGGCCATGGCTTGTTTGAGTTTATATATCATGGGGCGGCGATACCACACACGGCGTTACGATGGGCGGATTCAAGATTCAACTCGGGTGCACTTTATCTTTGACTTTTCCTTTGTTTCGCTCTCCTCAAAGATAGCAGGAGTCGTATGTAGCATACTATAATTTTGGCATGGACGTACATTCGAGCATCAGAGGGTGATGAACACGATGGAATAACGAGCTATACACAATACTTTCGTTTACGAGGGCTTTGCAGGCCATCGGGTTAGATACTTTATTTAATCATCAAATTGGTATCTAGTTTGTCGACTATACAGTGACCTTCAGATGATAGCTTTCTTCAAATCGTTGAACGCCGTAGGTCTAGACGTCTATCACTTAGGGAGCGGATGAATAATTAGAAATTATCGATGTCGACATGTTATTAGATCACAATTCAGGCACATCCTATCCAGTCACTCGGCATTTGTATTCACGCAAAATCTGGCCAAAATCTTGAAATATAAAAAGAAAAGCATTCATCATGATAACGACACCCTAAATAACAGAGACAAAAAGCAGGTTTAAAAAACCGTTGCATTACTTTTGGTAGCCCCCAATGCACCCCCCGAAGGTATTAAGGGCGCAAAGGACTGCCCCGAAGCCTTTTGCCATGCGGCCAAGTCGAAGTTCTGACCTCCTCCCCGGCGGTCACCTTCCGGACCGGCGGCAGCTCGTATGGAAAGGCCTGCCGCCCTTCCAGCGCGGTACTCTAGAAACGAGATCTATCAACAACTGCCACAAAGATTTCTCCGTAAGCTCCTCCCAAAGATGTCAGGCTGCCCTGTATCGTCCACTCATAAATAGCTGATCAGGCAGCCTGGTAACGGATATTGGAAGACCCGTGTTGCTTTTTTCAAATTTTTTTTAGATTGAACTTAGATGAGGTCGGCAACGTTCATGGGCATCTCCTCAATCTGGGTGCTGTAGAACTGCTCAATCTCGCGCATCATGCGGACGTCATCAGCGGTGACGAAGTTGATGGCAACACCCTTTCGGCCGAAACGACCACCACGACCAATTCGGTGAATGTAGTTCTCACGGTTGGCAGGGAGATCATAGTTGATGACCAGGGAAACCTGTTGGACATCGATACCACGGGCCAAGAGATCAGTGGCGATCAGGACACGAGAAGAGCCAGATCGGAACTCCTTCATGATCAGGTCACGCTGAGCCTGGTCCATGTCACCATGCATGGCGGAGACGGTGAAATCACGAGCAGTGAGCTTGTCGGTGAGCCAGTCAACCTTTCTGCGGGTGTTGCAGAAAATAACAGCCTGGGTAATGGTGACAGTCTCGTACAAATCGGAGAGGGTGTCCAACTTCCACTCCTCCTTCTCAACGGCAATATAGAACTGCTTGATACCCTCCAGGGTAAGCTCGTCCTTCTTGACCAAGATGCGGACGGGGTCACGCATGAACTTTGTGGTGACCTCAAGAACGTCCTGGGGCATGGTAGCAGAGAGAAGGACAACCTGGGTGGACTGGGGGAGAAGCTGGAAGATATCGTAGATCTGCTCGGTGAAACCGCGCTGAGATAATATTAGCATTTGGGTCTCAAAGGTGAGAAGCTGTTGTGTTCCTTACAGAAAGCATTTCATCGGCCTCGTCGAGAACGAACATCTTCATGCTGTCGGTCTTGAGGAAACGGCGCTGGATCATGTCCTGAACACGACCGGGAGTGCCGACAACAACCTGAGGGCCGTCCTGAAGGGCCTTCATATCCTCACGGACACTGGTACCACCGATACAAGCGTGGCACTCGATTTGCATGAAATCACCGATGGCAACAACGACCTTCTGGATCTGCTGAGCAAGCTCACGGGTAGGAGCAAGGATCAGAGCCTGGCACTGCTTAACGTTGGTGTCGATCTTCTGGAGAACAGAGATGGAGAAGGTGGCGGTCTTTCCAGTACCGGACTGGGCCTGAGCAATGACATCGTGACCCTTGATAACAGGCATGATAGCACGCTGCTGGATAGCAGAAGGACGCTCGAAACCGTAGGCATAGACTAGAGATTATTGTGAGCGGCATGCGAGGGATTTGTTGAGGTGTGGGAGACACTTACCACCTCGGAGGAGCTCAGACTTGAGGTTCATGTCATCGAAGGAGTCGACGGTCTCATCGTAGTTGGACTCGATCTGTCCTGTAAGGCATGTGTGGTCAGCAAGTCTGTTGATGATACGAGTGGCTTGCTCTCATCGCATGAGAGCGCTCAGGAACTCAAGCGCATCGTGAAGCCTATGGCATCGTGAAGGACGCAATAACTCACCCTCGGGGACATCCTCAAGACCCTTGTCAGCCATATTTGCGGTTGAGGCTTTGGAAAAGCTAGATCAAGCACAGCTCGATCTAGGGTTGATAAATCGCGGGGTGACGGAAGCGAAAAAAGAGGGCAGAACTTCTACTCGAGAAGACTGCGCCGTTGTGTCGTTTGGTTGAAAAGAAAGCTGGTATCGACTAGGATCAAGAGTCTCGTGAGAATGACGAGAATCGACAAGAACCTAGGATGGGGATGGTTATGTGTGCTGTTTCCTTTGGATGGAGTATGAAGGAGAAGAGGAAAAAAAAGTCGAATGAGGGGCGGTCGTGGAGGCAGTATATTTTTTTCATGCTGCCCACCCGCTTACCTCAATAGAGGCACTGACCAATGATAGAAGACCTTAGCGGGGCATCGGGATTAGGGTACATTTGGCTCGGTGTCTCTGCCTTGCATTGGCAGGGCACTCACCAGTCACAGGGCACCTGGCCATCAGTCTAGGTACGGTCTACAGCACGGTACAGTACTGTACGGCGAGTAATTTTTTGCCTGAATTTTTTTTCTCTTCGCTTTGATTTTTCTATCAACGAAAGAAGTTTTTTTTTTCCCCTTGCCTCACGTCCACCCACCTATGATAGATAACACGGGGCTGCAGCCACTATGCCCCGCCCCTCGCTAGAACCTCGAAGGGAAAAAAAAAAAATGCCCCTCCTCCACCCACGGATCATCGCCTGTCACCCACAACGCTGCTTTAATGGTGTTTCCAGTGACTGATAGACTGATTGTAGCCTGCCTGTGTGTGGTATGTGCCATTCATGTCATTGTTCTCAACTTCAATAAGAGACTTGCCATAGGTTGAACCATCCATATCTACCTTAGCTGCTAAGGTACTGACCTAAGGTGTTTTACCCATGATGACCGCCTAGTGTCTTTGAGGTGTAGGGAACGGGGAAAAAGGATGTGGGTGACTCCTACTTCTGTTCACATTTCCTGTTGCAAATGCACTATAACAATTATAATCCAAAACTGTAGAGAAAGGTATATCATTCTTCGGGATTGTCATCTTTTACCACATGCCCAAGATATTTCCTCGCTCGCTGAGAGGAATGATAAACCATATCACTCAGCTTGTTATAAGGTAGTCGACTAGTTAGTCGGTGGTTTAACAAACTACCAATCTACCTCTGTAGGTATCCATGCAATGAACAATCTTCAAATACCTTTGAGCAGGCACCCACAGTTAGGTGAAGTTACCGTACCTATGGAAAGTCAGCGTTGGTAGCCTCACTTTTGAGTCAAAGTCAAGCTGCAGTGTAACTCTAGTCTCATCTTTCCCGGTAAGGCTGTTACCGGAAACCATTCCTCAGCCGAATTTTTCTTCCGCCCACACAAATTACCTACGGGAGTAGGTCGGTAGGTAGAACTCGCCGTATCTGTGTGATTTCAACGCAGAGGCCTGACGGATCGTATCACACGTACACTTTAAGTCTCGTTCTTCTCATGAGTCTTAATTTCCTCTCCACAAGTTACTTCTTTCATATTCTCTACAGCAGCCCCAGGCAACCGCGGGCTCAGCACCACTCAAATGCCTTCAGCCATCGTCAGCAATGGCACTGGCCATCATGATTCACTCTGTGATAGGAGAGACGACATATATGAGTCAACTTCCAAAAGTGACTCAATTCCTCCTCATCCACTAGGACTCAAGCCATTAGGCAACCAGTATTTCTTCACGGGTCGCAATGCGAGGCGCTCAATTGGGAGCTGGAGAATTCTGCCAGACGAGGTTATCTCGCTTGTACTAGAGCAGTTTGATGCTGTGGCTCTCTTGAAGCTTGGTCACACCTGCAAATTCCTATACGCCTTTTGCCACTCCGATGAATTCTGGAAGCCTATCTTTCTCCGGTAAGTCACTTTGAGACATAAAAGGCACTCTGAAGTAGCTGTTGAACTAAGTTCCGTTAAGGTCACCACCACCAGATAGCAAGGATATCCGATGGCAAGGATCATGGAGATCAACTGTTTTAGGTTTGCCCAGTGACCAAGGGACCAAAATCGACTGCAGCAATGTCTTCTCAGATGTCCTTCATCGGCCATTTGCCTGCAGTCATGTCATCCTTACCCGGTTCACCTCGCATATTCCCAAGGCAAACCAGATCCGTCGCTTCAAGGACTTGACTCACGATCAGTATGCTGAGAAATGGACTGAGCAGCCATTCATACTTACCAATTGCATTCAAGAATGGCCAGTATATGAGCAGTGGACTATAGATAGCATGCTCCAGATATTTGGCAAAATCGAGTTTCGTGCTGAGGCTGTTGACTGGCCATTCGCCACCTATCACACATACATGAAGAACAACAGCGACGAAAGCCCTCTGTATCTCTTTGACCGGAAATTTGCAGAAAAGATGGGTATCAGAGTCGGTAAGAAGCCAGGCACTGCATACTGGAGACCAGACTGCTTTGGTCCTGATCTGTTCGAGGTTCTCGGAGACGAACGCCCTGCCCATCGATGGCTGATTGTCGGCCCCGAGCGAAGTGGCTCAACCTTCCACAAAGACCCCAACGCAACGAGTGCTTGGAACGCTGTAATTCAGGGATCCAAGTATTG